CTCCATGTCACCCTCGGACGTCCAACTCGTCGCTTCCCATGGGGATTCCACTCGAGCGACTGGCCTGACGCGTGATGTCCCCAGTCGGCCTTCTCAGTGTATGCCCAATCCATCTCCACTTCCTTCTGCATATTTGTTGGGTGATAGGTTCTTGGTTGGTTCGTTCCCAGAGCTCCTTGTTGCTTATTCATATTATTCTGGCCATGTGATCTTCAGTAGTGAGCCAGCGTAGGCAGTTGTTGATGAATGTCCGTAGTTTGTTGGAAATCCCTTTCGTAATGCGCCAAGTCTCTGAACCATACAGGAGCACTGACTTGACGTTGGTGTTGAAAATCCGTATCTTGTTCCACATGCTGAGTGTAGAAGATCTCCACACTGGTTTCAGGCTAATGAAGGCCTGTCTTGCTTTTCCGATTCTGACTTTGACGTCCTCGTCCGTCCCGCCTGTAGTTGAAACAGTGCTTCCTAGATAAGTGAAGGAGGTTACTTCCTTTAAGTTCCTCCCGTTGATGGTGATTGGAGTTTGTTGTTGTTGTTGATGGTGGTGGTGCGGAATCTTCATCACCTGTCTTCTCTATATTCACTTGAAGTCCTGTCTTTCCTGCCCTGCCTCGCCTCTTCTGTCAACTTGTCAGTTTTCGCCTATAGATCTTCAAGTTTGTGTGACATGAGACACAAGTCATCCGCGAAATCCAGATCTTCTAGGTTCTTTTCCGCAGTTCAGCGTATCCACCTCTTCCCTCTCCCCACTGTTTGTTGCATGATCCAGTCGACCACAATCAGGAATATCATGGGGATAGTAGACAGCAGCCTTGTTTCACTCCTGTCTTCACTTCACTTCAAAGGCATCACTGAGCTTACCATTGTGAATTACTTGGCATGTGGCATCTTCATACAGTTGTTGAATGAGGTTGATAAAGGTTTGTGGTATTCCATAGTGTTGAAGCAGTTGCCAAAATACTTCTCAATCGACGCTGTCGAAGGCCTTTTCAAAGTCAATGAAGTTGAGGTAGAGATCCAGTTGACTGCCATTCTATACTCTGTTCTATGATGATGCGAAGCGTTGCAATTTGATCCGCACACGATCTGTACTTCCTGATGGCAGCCTGTTCTGGTCGTAGTTTTGAACCCAGTGCATTCTTCAGTCTCTCCAGGATGATGCGGCTTAATATTTTGCTTGGGGTGGACAGGGAAAGCAGTATGATTCCGTGCCAGTTCTTGCAAACACTGAGGTCTCCTTTCTTCGGCAGTTTGACAAGGTAAGCCTTCTTCCAATCTCCAGGTACCTTCTCTTCCTTCCAGACCTTCTGCAGTAGTGATGTGAGCATGTCGGCTATTGTATCTGCTTCTGTTCTCAGTGCTTCTGGCGGCATCCCATCTGGTCCTGCTGCTTTCCCGCATTTCCGTAGCTTTATGGCGTTCAGGACTTCCATTTTTGTTGGAGGATTTATGTTCACTTGTAGTTCTGTAGCTGGGCTGTAGGTGGTATTTGTAGACGACGTGCAGGTGGTGTTCGATTCAAGAGCTTTTTGAAGTGGTCAGCCCTTTGTTTCTCTTCTTTCGTAATTAAATTTCCGTCATCATCTTTTATTGGTTTCGTCTGCTTTGATCTCTTCCCTTTCAGATAGCAACCTGGTTATTTGATACAATGTTGTCAGGTCTATCTCTCCTACCTGCAGCTTGTTCTGCTTCACTTGCCAGTGTTTCGTACATTGTGTTCAGTTCTTCTTGTCTTTGAGCATCCTTGCACTGGTTTATCTTCTGCTTCACCATCCTCCTCTCCTTGCTCTATCAGCTTCCAGGTATCCGTCGAGATCCATTCCTTGTCTTCTTTCTTCTTCCTTCCTAATATGGCTGTGCAGGTTTCTTTCCACATCTCTTTCAAAGACTTCCAGTGTTCTTCCACACAGGTTTCTTCAGGGATGTTCCTCGATATCTCCCATTTTGTCTTGATGGCTGGCTGCCGTGAAGATTTCCTTTGTAGTTTCATCCTTCAGTTTCCGAGTGTTTTACTTGAACTGTGTGTGGTCTATCACCAGCTTCCTTGAAGGCTTCTAACGATTTGGAAGGTTCCTTGCACTAGATAATGAGTGGTCTGAACCTACATCTGCTCCTCTTCCTGACCTTGTGTCAAGTAGACTGTGTCTCCATTTTCTTGAGATTGAGATGAAGTCGATCTGATTTTTAGTGTGTCTGGTGTCTGGTGAAATCCATGTTGCTTTGTGAATATCCTTGTGCTTGAACACACTGCCTCGCCTCCAATCACCAAATCGTTGAATGCACAGAATTCTGCAAACAATTTTCCATTCTCGTTCATTTCACTGAGTGCTTCTCAACCCATGGTTAGTTCTCTTCCGTGTTGTGTTGTCTGCTCCCAATTTGGCATTCATGTCACCCCACCAATTAGAATTTTGATATCGCCAACTGAGGTCTTGTCCAGTGTTGATTGCAGTTGTCTGTAGAAATCCTCCTTTTTCTCTTCATCTGCATTATTTGTAGGTGCATAGCATTGAGTGATTGTGACCTTCCTTCCTTTTGAGTTGAATCTTGCTGTCATGATCCTGATTGTGGAGGAGATTGGTTCCCACTGTATGAGAGCCTTCGATGCTGTTGGGGACATCATGATAGCCACTCAATAACTTAGTGTGCTCGTGGTTGTCGTCTGGGTGACCGGAGTAGATTATTGCTTCTCCAGTTGACAGTTTAGAGAGTCCACTTCTATTCCACCTGCTTTCGCAAATTCCTAGCACTTCGATGTGATACCTTCTCATCTCCTTTGCAATCTGGGCTGCCTTGCTGGGTTCAAACATTGTGCGGACATTCCATGTCCCCACATTTACTTTCGCTTTCATCGAGAGAAGACACGTCGGCCAATTGGCTTCCCGAAGGCAGGCTTTGACCAACTGGCGTCATTTCGCCTCTCCGATTCCAGCGGGGAATAAGTTTGTTTTTATTTTTTATATTTTGTTTGTGCTTTGAAGTTTGTTTAGCGGTTAGATTTGTTTTACGGGGTAGGGTTGCTAGCCGTATGCCCAACCTTCCCTCTTTACACGGGCTTATGACGGCTAGTAACTAGTGAACTAGTTAACCAGGCTAGGTTAGTGGTTTGTAATAAAAGATTAAACGCAGTGGTGCTGGGAGATCTCAAGTATGCTTACAGATTTTTTTGAGTGGATAATATCTAAGTTCAAAAGGCTCAATCGTACTCAGTCAACTGTTGTATTGAAGTATGCTTATAATTCCCTACTCACTTTTTAATGCCTAGTGAAATGTGAATTGTTAGCGGCTATTTATTCTTCTACAGCCCAATACAACACCGTCATCTTTTTTATTAGGAAAACACAAAAGTGACTGAAAGAAATCTATTTGCTATTCGGTTTTTCCACGCATGAACAGTCGAAATTTAGACATACAGTGTTCTCAAGCTTATCATGCTATCAGTTATTGAGACGGAAAACATTTTGATGCATAAAGGAAAAAAATTGATTGGATAGCAAAAAATGTTTTTGATTTGGTTGTTTTCTTGCATAAATCATCAGTTTCATGACCTTACTATTGGACGTGGTATACTTAGCGGAAAGTGTATATCTTTGTTTTCACTACGCCTATCGATTTTTGTAGTATATCAAGCTAATAATTTTTAATCATGAATGCCGTTGAGTTGCACAAACACCACCGTAAATAACTTAAGAAAAGCAAAACGAAAGAAATGAGTCGTGTGCGGCGAGATGTAAAACCATCTCTCTAGGCGATTTCTGTCAAAAAATTCGAATGTGAGTAAAACGTGTATATTGGTAAAAGTCATTGTTTATTTTCTTACTTGAGCGTATATGTGTTTGTGTTGCATTCAAAGAGTTTGATACTTCAGTTTTCAAACATTTTATCGTGATCTAGCAATGCGGTTTTCGATCCACCGTTATAACTAAATATTCAATTTTATATAAAGTAATCAATGTAACCGACTGGAATTTATTTCCCGTTTGATTGTGTATGTTAAGTTTATGTTGAGTAATTGAAAACACACGAATTGAGTAATTAAATATGCAGAGCTAATTTTGCCGATATACAGAAGGATTAAACGAATATTCCAGAATGGAAGATGAGTATTTATTTTCGTACAACTATGTCATAGTCAGCCTTGACTTCAATTTGAAGTGCTTGTAAAATGTCTCTCTGTGTAACCGATGTGAAACATGTCTCTTTTTTTCTATACATTTTTTGAAGAACAATTCTGATTTAGTTGACTCATGTAATTGTCAAATTGGTACTATCGAAATTCCAGGAAATTACGCGTACATGATTTAATCCCACGTGTTTGAGTCTCCTAGATCACGTCAGTTTCCTTAAAATTACAGATACCCCTTACTAATGGTCGACTAGAAGTATGGAATCCAATTAAACAGCCATAGACGGAACATTTTTTGGAACTGAACATAGTGGATTCTACTGCAAAGCTGATTGATAGAATTCAGTCAGCTCTGAGATCTGTAAAAAAAAATATGGCATGGAGTCGTTGTTTATTGCTTTAGAGAGATGACTATCCATCATTGGGTCACGAGTTCGAACCCCGCTCCACCTACCGAGGTTTGGGCTGCCAGGTAGTATCACTAGCCCTCACACAATAGACATGTGTCTCTTTGTCTACTGCACAAATTTGCACAAGGTTATTGAGTATCTTTCGTTCGTCGTTTGTTCGTCCCATTAATTGATGTGTGCACTGTTTTCAACATTTCTTAAAATATGATTCAACTGTATCAGTGGTCACTTTGAAATTCTATTTCTTTTTGAATATTGTTGAAAAGAAAATGCAATACCATCCTGGATATCTGCTTTGCTTCTGGCTATGAAAACGTTATTTGTGTTTACATGTTAGGTTATTACTTCACATCCCAGTGAATCATTTTGACAGTAGAAATACATTGGAATTAATTAATATTTTTCAATTGAGCTTGTTATGATTAAATTGAATCTTAACTGATTTTGAAAAAACCTTGATACAGATTCACCTTATCAAATGAAGTGAAAAAGGCTTGTGAATCTTTAATTGGTTATTATCAAGCTGAAAAAACTGTTGGTAGAGAGGAGGAAATGGTGAGTTATTCCTTATTTCCTGTTAATTAACAGTTCATATTCTACTGGTCACGGAAATCTAGTTTGTTATTTCCGAGGTATATATTTAAATTTATCTCATTTTTGTTAACGACAACATTCGGTCACTTTACATGTACTGTCTTTCCCTGCCCTCTGCTCTGAATGGTCGAAATGACTATCTTTGTGGGAGGTATTGTTCCGACCAATCAAGTGGTATTTTGTGAATTGTATCTTTTTTACAAAAGGAGAAGTTCATTCATTCTAAATGTTACTAATGTGGAGTGATAAGATTAACAGAACTTTGTCGTTCACTGCTGTTTAAAGGAGCTCAGTGTTGCAACAATCTTAAGATGCCCTACGTTGATTGCTACACACTAATTTTGTCTTTGGAATCAGTCAACTCTTTACATACTACTCATTTGAACAACAATGTGGTGCTTATTGCTAACTGACCTTGAGAATGAAATTTTCTAGGTTTTAATGCAAACCTACACAACGTGTGGTCAACCTCATGGTTATGTAGCAAGGATAATGGTCGCGTTCTGTTACCAGCTGGCGAAAGCTATAAAGTATGAGCATTTCTACTTTAACCTGAATGTTTAGGCTGTGATATAGCGACTGGGGATACCTGGACTTATATATCTTACCCGACCTAAATTCGTTGCGTGCTAAGTTTAAGAAAACCACCAGCTTTTAATTTGCTCGAATAGTTTAAATTAATTCAGCTCAGTATTCAGGGTTAAAAGTAGAAACGAACGAACCAAATGCAAGAAAATGTCCAGATTTCAACACTAGCATATTGAAGTTAGATGAAACAAAGGAAGGCTATGGCTGTGATTATTGGCTAAAAACGAACAAAGAAGATTGAAAACAGTTAGGTTTCTGTCGAATAGTTTCAAGCTGATAATCTCCGAATCAGTTTCTCAACTATTTTCCCTAAAGAAACTGCTCCTAGCCCTCTATTCTGATTCAATCATAAACTAGTATTTAAGTTGCTATTGCAGTTTAATCTTGCCAGGGTGTATCACGGTTCATCTGGACTGAACAAAATTCAAATTCAGTAAATTTTACCTTCATAAGCGATATATTGTTCATGCTTTTATCTGTCTATGTTAGATAGGGTGTTCTGGATGACGTTTACTGCAGTTCAACAATTCTCAGTTGAATTTAAGGTGGAACCTGAATACAAGAGAAAATTTCACTTGCCTAGTCTTGTATTGTTAATAATCTAGGTAACTTGTAAGCTTAGATTTTTTTAAAGCTCATGTAATTGGCCAACGTTGTATAATATTATTATCTCTCACCCTATATCATTGCTACAACACGTTCAGACAGGAAATTCGTTTATTTACTGAATCAAATGCTTATTGTAGATGGATTACGGGGCAATTATGTAGACTTGGTCTTAAAGTCTAACGGATGGTAGGAGTCCAATCAGTACACTTAAGTTTGATGTCTATGTATTTCTATTATATGAGACATTCATGGAAAGCTGATCAATGGAGTGGTGTAATGTGAATGTTATATTATTGTTTTCGATGGATTGCCCTACTTTTTGTCAATTAAAGGCTCATATGGAACCAACTTATACGAGTGCATTTCAGTATATACTTCAAGTAACGTGTAATTTGAATTGTTCAGTGAAGAATGGAGTATCGCAAATAAGTATATGACTTCAGATATGGGAAGCTTCCGTCATTCTGGAATTCTATGTTTTACAACAATGACTGGTTCACTTATCGACCGACTGAAGTGATAAGGCTGTGCAACCATGTGCACACGACCAAACAGGTCTGTTTTTCATGAAATCCCCTAAGCTTACCATATGTGTAAACGTGAAACAGGTTTCCAACTAGCCTACTACTTAGTGTAATGAAAATCTTGTTCACCAAATTTGTGACGTACAATAAACACGACTACAACTTAAACCACATGTTCTAATAGGAAGCCGCATGCAACGGACGTTATTAGCTGACCAACGAGATCTGTGGAGATAAGGTAATTTCCTTGCATTTATTGTGACTTTTGGCATCATCCTCCTGTCATTATTGAATCGCTTTTTTGACTATAGATTTAGTTGGTGATTAATTAAACTGTCCTGCATTAATTTAGGCGTATATGTTTTGTTTCCTGTTTATTTCTTCTTTTCTTCTGTGTAGAAAGATAAATTTTTGATCATAGTAAAAGTTTGGTTTGAACTTGCTGCAACATCACAGACTGACTTGCTGAATATCGAGGATTTTATTGCAATTTTGCATGATTATTCACCGGCTTTATTACGCGATGTCATTCAGTCGATTGATGAGAATGTAAGTCGGTATCGATTTTAACTCATGAGCTACATTATAGAGCTCATTTAACTTGATCGTATTTCGTGAAAAAAAGAAACTGAATGTATTTTTTAACCGGCTTTGTTGGCCAACTTTACTGTCTAGACTATGTATAAGATCCCTAGTTAGCATTATCCTTTTAGAATTTCTTCAGCTGTAGTCCAAGACATATTTTACACTCAGTTTGTAACTGTTAGTTAAACGTGAATCTTTGCAATTAAGACCCAAATTATTATGGTTTTTAAGTTGAAACGTTCGAAATTCTTTGAAACGTTAAAAAGTAAGTAATCTATTCTAAAAATACTTCAATTTATTGAGTATTCGAAGAAGCCTTCAACATGTAAACACTAGCTTTTTTTCTACTTTATCCTCTAACTGTACTCACTGTTCAATAGATGTCTACGTTTATAGTTTTAATGAGCTTGTTTTATTGGTTGTATAACGGTTTTTCCCCTTTCGGTTACCTGACAAACATGTTTTTTTGCAACCGAAACTTCTTTTCACAAAGATGACTCGAGCAGAGTGAGATGTGATATATCTGGAAGTCATTATCTTTATCTAGACAATATTTCTGTTACAATAAAAAAATTCTCAGCACACATTACTGCAGAATATTTGCTCAGTTTTCAACATTTACAGTAACAATAATTATGGCAACTGAATAATGCTAGTGATAATCTTGACCATAGCAGCATAGGGAGTCATTCTAGAATGACGGGAAGAACAAAATAGCTGTCTGTTACGAAGCCCCTGGGTAAATCATTTCCTAACATTCCTCTCTTCACGCCTGATATATGTTAAGTATGGTATCATTGGGTGTTTGTATTTTACCGTATTCACATAACGTCTCATGAACTTGGTTTCTATCCTTCCTAAGAAAACATATTGAGATTAGTGTGATTCAAGTGGATGTTAAGCGTTTGGTGTAGTCACCGTGTGAGCAATATTGAGGTCATGTGAAGGATACTAGGCAAGACAGGCAAGTCGATTGGTGAGGTTGTGAACCTTCATCGACCGAGGAGGCTTTACATGTACTGCGCATGCTGGACCACAGCCTACTTTGACGTGCCATGCTAGAGA